ACCTAACTATATCTTCGGTGAAGAGGACTGTATCAATAAATGGAATTAAATTTTCTTCATAAGTGTGGGATAAAAAATCAGCTTCAGTCGTCTCCACGGACCGGAAGAAATGAGAGAGATAGTCAGCCTTCTCCTTGTCACCTGAGATTTCTGCAACTTCGACCGTTCGAAATAGGGGGATAGGATCATTGTTCCATGTGCTCTGTCTTATATAACTTTAAAGGACTTTGGGATTAATCATAACACGGTTAAACAGATCCTGTTTGAACGTCTGCCGATCTCTGACAATAAGACTTTTTACCTGATACCTCTGCATCTTGTAACCATTGAGGGATTCAGGTGTCCCATCAATAAGGGACGTTTTCCACAGTTTTCTCTTCTTGTTAACTTCCGTTTTTAAAGATAGAGTCAACCAGCGAGGTCTGTTCGTTATTTTTCTGCGCGTGATTGGTCAGTGGCTAATGATGATGTTATAGACTATCTATTTGAATTGTTCGCAAGCTTGTTTAACATTGTCCGAGAGTGTGGATGCCCAGTCGATGAAACAGAGATCATTTTTCATCCGCTTGAAATCGCCACGCCAAATATTTTGTCGTAGATGTTGCGGTTGGCAGGCAAAGAAAGTAAACTCTATTCCCACATGAGAACAAAATGGTCATTCTGGCCTAGTTGGAGTAAGCAATACACAATGTCAATATTTTCAGGTGATTTAGTGAGCACAAGGTCGAGGCAGTTCATCATCTGACTCTCACAACTTCTTGTGGGAGATGTGAAGTGCTGGGTGAGAAGCAGGGATTGAGTTATATACAGAAACTGGTGGTCGAATGCCAATTCAGGGCAATCAGCCGAGGAAGAGCTCCAGTTGATGGTAGAGGCATTGAAGCCCCCAATGATAAGGGTATTTTATCACGTAGCGAGGGCTTTAATCTCATCCAGAAATAGGGCATTAGCTTAGAATCGTTCCTTGGGGGGCAGTAGACAGTTAAGATATCGAGGCTATGGGTACCCGTTGCTCTTACAGTCAACCATACCGCTTCCGGACAAGACTAGTTCGCCGTTTTTTCAGAAACATGCAAACCGTTCTTCACTAAGGTTGCTACGCCTCCACCTCGTCGGTTGTCTCTGTCTTTGGGAAACCGTTGAAAGCCAGGTATTCCAAGCTCTCGATTGTCAATCTGGTCCGACAACCATGTTTCTGTTATCGAAATAACATCTGGAAGGAGGTCGGATACGTTGATCCTCAGTTCATCCATTTAGGAAACTAAGCTTTGCGCATTAATACACATAAATGTCGGCTTCAAGTTCTTGCGCGGTCCATTTTAGCCCCGACGCAGACTACTGGAGTAGCTGCGCGGAATAACCCTAAGTTAGCATCATTTCTTTCCTTGGGGGTGTCAGCAGTGGACTCAAGCATTTCCCGGATAATGAGGCAATTCCCCTTGTCAGGGATGCTTTTATTAATTGCGGAGTTCTGGTTATCCTCGGACAATTTAGAATCGTCAGACGGGGCTTGTAAA